GCACTTTATCAAACGACAGTGAATTACATTAATAGATTATACGACAGCAGATTAATAACATACAGTCAAACGCAGCTGATGTTAAAGAACTAGGGACATTTTGACCAACTTGTGCAGAAAATGATCATTCCTGTGAGTTATCCTGGTTCAAAATCCATATAAAACCAGCAATCAACACATTTCAAATCAGCTTTTAATATTACATGACCTTTACACCACACAGAAAGGTAAAGCCTATGCGTTTACCGTAGTAAGTTATTCAATGAATGGCTTAATTATTGCTGTAATCACGTTTGAAAGGTTCTGTTCATGATAAAGTGCTTCAAACGGCCTCTTAAATATAACGAGGAAAGACTGTAGGCTACATCTGTGTTTAGATACAGAAGACTATGAAGTTATGACGATTATATTACCAAGATCTTCTCCGCACAAATGAACAGATGTTCCATTGCCTTGCATTTGGTGTCTTTTGGTCAAATAAATAACAGCACATAATTCATGCACATTTCAGTAAATGGTTTTTATAAAGTCATTTCATTTAGAGTTTAAGAACAGTACGCATGTTACAGTCCTTCAGTCAAATATTCATCAGGATTGATACAACAACCTCAGAATAAACCCTGAAACAGAAGCAAAAGTTGAAGATTACTGTCATTTCATCGCCACCAAACAAATGAGATAAGACATAGACTGGTCATTTAAAACCATGTGAAAGTGACTTCATGTATGATCACACACTCCTTTCAGAGATTTGTTCAGTCTTTTGACATTAGTAAGTCTGCATTCATGTCGCTTCCCGGCGTCACAAATGACATAAAAGTGAGCGCAGGCCATTAAAGTGTCCGAGTCAAACCATAAGCATCAGTGAAGAGACGAAAGATCACGAATGATCAAGCAACCTGGAAGCGGACATAAGCTTTTATGATTACAAACAGCATGAGACATAAATCTCATCTGAATCTGCATGATCACACACAGATGAACGGCAGTTTAAAGATACAGCATGCACACACAAAAAGAAAGAAAGAGACAAAATAATGTAAACTCACAGAATCGTCCGAGTAATAAACGGATAACAGAAGGCAAAATGATGCAAAGCAAAAGTAAACCATCGTGAACCGAACATCATATAAAAAGGCTTTATGGTGAATATGAGTAGAAAATTACAGTACAGTGCCAGGCAATAAAAAAAAGGACAAACAAAATGCAGAAAATAGCAAACTTATTAAATACACGAATTACCATTAAAACAAACTCATCATTGGCATTCAGCTTCATGTCAAAGACAATTAAGTTTAAATAAATATTTCACTCAAAAATGTAAATTATACCATTTTTTAACCACCCTCATGTTGTTCAAAACATTAAAAAGTTTCTTAAAATAAACATTTTCTTTTTAATTTCAGCTAGTTCAGCAATGTTTCTCATTTTAATTGAATTTAAATTAATAAAAATGATAAAGAAAAAACCTAGTAAAATTACAATAAAATTACTTGCTTAACTAATTTAAAATATTAACTATAATAAAACTTAAACTAATAATTCAACTAATTGTATAAAGAAAAGCATGCTCCTCTGGAAAATAAAAGCATGCAGCTTTAAACAAAATAAGGATGAGTAGATAACGACAGAATCCTCTTTATTAGAGCTGGTCATCGGTGTGAATACTGCAGTCCGAGCCCGGTGACACCGTCCTGACACCCAGCTCAGGTCAAGCAGCAACACCAGGCTCACACAAGACTAAACAAGCAGACGACGAGAGGACGACGAGACGAGACGACAGCCTCTCCGCTCAAAGGCAAAACAAGCTCACTACATAATTGGTCAGTTAGCATTGTAATTCTTCCAAGCAGAATATAGACATCTATAGTTCACATAAAATATATAGATCTGATTTCACCACGTCTGGATTAAAATAAGGCTAATCTATCTTTTGTGCATGCTAAAGAGTCTCTGAATTTGATATATTATTTATTCTTTTTAAAGTATGCAATGCACCAGGCGGATCTGCTCCGGTGGCGGAGTGCTGTGATTCTGGTGGTGCGAAGCTTTTAAAGGGAATAATTCAACATACAGGCTTTAGAAGAGTCCAGACTGTGTCGTTCTTTCAGGAAACAATCACACTGCAACACGAATCTGCATTAACCACCGGCAGGAATGTGTGTGTGTGTGTGTGAAGGCTAAGCTATGGGGAGTTTTGGGAAAGTGTCCAACCAATTCACGCAAGAAATCCATTTAGAAATCCGTTTTCATTTAAGCAGCTTTTTGTTAAATCATAATTATGACTAACTATACGTATAAGGAAATAAAAAATCAGAAGTCATATTATCAAAATTATGATATAAAAAGTCATATTTATGTGATAGTTGAAATTACAACAAAAGTCAAAGAATTAAGTCATAATTATGAGATAAAAAGGCAAAATTATGACACTATGCCACAATTATGAAATAAAAAGTGGAAATTGCAACAAAAGGTCAAAGTATTAAGTCATAATTATGAGATAAAAAGGCAAAATTACGACACTATGCCACAATTATGAAATAAAAAGGGGAAATTACAACAAAAGGTCAAAGTATTAAGTCATAATTACAATTTAAAAAGACGCATTTATGACATACAATCAACTTTTTGTCATTACTTTTTTTTTAAATCTCAATTTCGACTCTATCTTACAATTATGACTTAGTACGTTCATTTCCACTTTATATCATAATTATGACCATCTCATAATTGAAACTTTTTATCTCACAATTATGACTTAATACTTTGACCTTTTGTTGTAATTTCCACTTTTTATTTGATAATTGTGGCATAGTGTCGTAATTTTGCCTTTTTATCTCATAATTATGACTTAATTCTTTGACTTTTGTTGTAATTTCAACTATCACATAAATATGACTTTTTATTTCATAACTTTGACACAATTATGGCTTAGTCCGTCATAACTTTGACTTTTCGTCAATTTCCACATTTATATCATACTTGTGGCTTAGTGTGTCGTAATTTTGCCTTTTTATCTCATAATTATGAGTTGGTGTGTCAGTTTTCACTTTTAGACAATTTTGACTTTTTATGTGATAATTATGGCTTTTTATCTCATAATTTCAAAATCTCAAACTTATGACTTAGTAAAGTATGTCATAATTTCTACAGCATATTGGTGTGGTTTATGAAGCGAGGGTGAGTAAATAATGACATAATCTTGTGACTTTTGCATGAACTCTTCCTTTAAGCTAAATCAAGGTTTGTGAATACGATGGTCCAGATCTTTTTCAGAGCGGTCATGACTGGTCACAAAAGCGCTTTGAGTGCTTTTAAAGGGAATAAGATTATATAATAACAAAGATCATTTTAATCGAATAAAGTATAAGCAAAGAAAACAAAACAGGATACACGAGCACAACCAATCAATTTGGTCATGCAACTTTTTGGTGCAAAATAAAGTCTTTACAAATGCAAATCTGTGCGATCTCCACGAGTCTCTAGTTGCTTCTCAGGTTTGTAATGCAAATAAAGCGTGACTTCAAGGGTCCTTCCACGTGTGGTTAACGCGTCAACCAAATAATTAGCCAGAGTAAATATGCACCATCTGACTGATAAATATAAGAAAGGCCATAATGTGGCCAGTTTCCTATTATTGCTCCTGACGTCTAATTCCTCGAGAGGTAAAACTAGTGATAAAAACAAGTAAAGCAAGTTTATGTGAACGAACACAAAACACAATGAACAAGAAAACGCATCAATGCTCTGAAAACGCCAACAGAAGCGGTTTACCTGAATATAGAGCGAGACTGAACAGTGCGAGCGTTTGGTAATGCATAGATCTGTTCCCACGCGCAGAATATCACAACTCCACATTTACTTGCTGACACGAGTTCGAACCAGGCGTGATGTGACCCGCAATAATAAGCCATGTGTTCATGGACCAATGAGATTTCACTGTTCTGTGTGTGTGTGTTATACTGTATGATCATTGAAATCACGAAATGGCCTTTATTACTAAATAAATTGTAAAATGTTTCATTTTCTCATACATTTATTTCATGCACTGGTTGCTTGTGACGAGCTATTAGACTATTAGCATGTTAGCCCGAGCCAGACGAGCGTAAAACTCCACATTGAAGGGGTTTAACTCGCCTGTTGCCCAGTAACTTTATGAGTTTTGACAATGCATGGTTGTGAGGATGTTATATGGCTTAGTGCGATCATCAAATCGCTACAGTTGTGGATATATAAATATACAGTATAGTCTGATGCGCTGCATGTTTCAGAGCAAAACTCAGTTTCGACTCAGTGTAAATGCTACTCTGCATGAGCTCTTGTTGAGTTTGAGACGCTTATGATTTGCATTTGAGAACGCAACGTGCGCCAACCATAGTTTATAAATCTGTTGTTGTCAACAAAGAGTTTTCCACCTAAATTCGATTTAAAAGCAAAGAAATTAAGGCAACCATAAATGTTAGTACTTTACTGTTCTGTAAAATAAAATAATAATTAATATTGTTGTTAATAACAACAACAACAATTCTATATTTTATATAACATGTTCTATTATAATGCAATATATTATTATTATTATTAAATACTCTCTTTACATTTTACGTATTAATAGTATGTAATAATTCAATAAAATAGATTTTTTCTTTTTTATTATAATAACAATTGCGCGTGGGAGGTGGGGGTGTTCCTTCTTTTTTGTCTTTAGCTGATCACATGCCTGACTATATTATCATCCACACCAATGCACAATAACGTTCTGTCGTTTATAGTCTGCAACTATAATTATTTGAGCTCTTTAAAGTCTGGTGGATTCTGATTGGCTAATCGTTCATTAAAATCATTCTGAAAGTGATTCCAACTATAGCGTTCCTCTGTCGTTATTGTTATCTCTGTTTTTTAGAATGATTTTTAAAACGATATCTTTAATGTTTTCGTAATATCGTGCTTGGTGTGAAATAATAAAAAGAACAATGACAAGCGCAAAAAAAATAAATGGCTATTTTTGATCGCTCCCTTTCATTTTCTTTATTTTGGTTCATCAACAGTTTGGTTTTCCTGACGTTTCTCTCGTTTCGGCTTCCTATAGAATATAAATCTGTCCTCCATGTCTAAGAGCTCTCAGGGGAGGAAGGGTTCGTCCTCGTCTTCCTCATCGCCAGCGGGCCCCGGGTCGCTCAGACAGCGCATGAGGCGCTGAGGCTCCTTATCATCATCCTCGTACGCCATTTTGTCCTTTCTCTCCTTCGCAGGAGAGGGTGGCTTCATCATCAGGCCGCCCTCCTCCTGGCTCTCCTTCGGCTGGCTTGCTTGGCTGCCGAACTCGTCCCGCATGTTGACGGGCTCCGGGCTCTGAGGCGAGGCCAGGTCCACTTTAATGGTGGGGATGCTTTCTGTGACAGCCTTGATGCCCCACGCTTGAGGGTCTGTTTCAGAGAAGAGGGAAACTCCATCACACAAAACATTCTCCTTCATCAGTATTTTACTGACAAACTGAAATAAAAAAGCTAAATAAAACTATATTTAAAAATACACAAAAAAGAATGCAAATTACAAAACATAACAAGAGTACTCAAATTCAAACGAACATTTTAATATATTAACAACATTAAAATACAACCTAAATCAAAATATATTTATAAAATACAATATTATAGTATATAAATAGCACTGTTTTACTTAAAGATAAATGACAAAACTTAAAAAGCATAAGTATAATTAATTACAGAATTGGCTATGGATTATAATTTTTTTTTAGTTTTTTTTTTTTTGTGTGTGTTGGAAGCAAAAATCCAAAAAAAATTTATAAAGTTTGTTTAAAACAAGAAAAAACTTTTTTTTTCCAATATTTATCAATTAACTTTCTAAAAAAAAAAAGTGCTTATTTATTTGCATTAAAGTATTTTTACTGGAAAATAAAACAAAAATGTGTTACAGTGCAAACAGTTAATTTATGCAATTAACTAATACAAATAAACAATTTACTGTATTGAATCTGAATTTAATTGAATCAATTCAGTTAAAAAATCCTGATATATTTTGCAAATATGAAGGGGAGATTTTGTGCTGGATGTTTGAAAATTATGTTTTTGCTTTGGCAAAATTTATAGAAAAGGCCTGGTATCTGCGACAAAGAACTTTGTATCCCATATGAAAAGCCATCTCTATTTGTATGTGTACTTATTTTTAGTGGTTTAGTTATGTTATGTTGGGTTCTGTGCTATGTCACGTGGCTATTTGGAGATATTTGTGAAATTATTACTGTAGTGTCTAATAAGGGTGGGCACCATGGTGTTTGACACTTAAATAAACAAATCAATCAATCAATACTGTAATAAGGGATTCAAGATGGTTCTCTGATTATTGCAATATGATGCATTTCTTAATTCTATCCATTGCTACTATAGTTTATGCCAAAGTACTAGTTATTTTTTTTTACTACTGTAAACCATAGTAATTCACTATAGTGTCTGCTATATTAACTATATATATATCTCTAATATCCATTTAGCACAATTTTATTGTAATAATAACTTGGTAGATGTTTGTAAGGAATATGGCTTGATTGTAAAGAGTTCTGCATATGATTAAATCAGCTGAATCAATAGAGGGCGCTGTGCAACAACTGAAACCTGAATGATTAACCGCACATTCACTGAGAGGAAAGACTTGGGGCGGAAGAGAAAGATTTCAGTGACACGACAGGATCCTAAAGTCATATATCTGTGATCCAGCAGAGAAGACGTCGCTCACCTGAAGACAGTCGAGCTCGAGCAATGTTCGGGGAATCAGGAGGCGGAGCTGGAACGGTCAGGTGATTGTTCATCAGTATCTGAAAGAAGCGAGACAGAACCTTCAATGCTTACATCTATTATGATTAATAAAGCACATTCCAGCTATCAGTGGCTTTTATGTGTAACTGAGATGAGTTCTGGTGGCCAGTAACTTATATACTGCCAATATACATAGTATATAATAGAGTATAACAATTAATTGAGATGCAGAAAATTGCTGAAATTAAATGAATTAAAAAGGCAATCGATAGATTTTGGAAACGACACAATTTTTCATATCCAATGATGAATCAATCAATCGTTAACGTCAAACCTTCTTTTCCATATCTATCAGTTTCTTGCGTTTGATGAGGTCGTTCCAGCCGTCCTCAAACGGATCAGCCACCAGTGTGTGCCTGTTGTACGAGCGCAGCTGAAAAAACAGAAGACAATCCAGTTTGATCTGAATGAAACAGAAAGAAGCTTGGTTTGAGAGTGAAGTGAAGTGCTGACTCACTCTCTGGCGGGTCCTCTGCAGGTTTGTGCGCAGGATCTTCCGGATCTCTTCCTCACGGGACTTGGAGAGCTGTGGCAGAGCTCTGTCCTGAGGAGTCTTCTTGGGCTGGATGTTCCTGGAAAACAAAGTCAAAAACTCATTATAATAGAATAAAAATCAGTCCCATACATTCTAGAAACATTCCATGAACTCCTTATGTTCAACAGTATATATACAGTAGTGGACAAAAGTGAGGTCTGGCCTAGGAAAAATGACATCACCCTTTTTTTTTTTATATATATTATTAAAGGGGTCATATAATGGTACATGCACTTTTACAAGTTGATTGTACTGAAATGTGTGTTGGCAGTGCCTGTACACAACCATCATAAAATGATAAAAATCCATCCAGTGTTTTTGTTTTAATCTCCTTATATGTTTTCCCCTGCCTCAAATCTAGCCGTTCGATTTTGTGACGTCACACGCTCGGAAGCCCCTCCCACGATTGTTGATTGACAGCAGCGTTTCAACACAGACCCGCCCTCGCTCGTGAGAGCTGTCAATCATAGTCTGTGCGGACCGGCGCGGTCATTGTTGATATGCTGGAGCACTGTCTATGAGCAGAATGGCGTCTAAGGGATTGTGGTGTTCTGTTCTTGGGTGTAATAACGAACACAGTCATTTTAATGTTCCTAAATCCGAACCGCTGAAGACGCAGTGGCTGAGTTTGTTTTCGAAGGGAATATTCCACACGAGCAACGTCAATGCTTTCATGTTTGCACGAATCATTTCTCACCAGACTGCTTTATAAACGAGGGTCAGTATAAAGCTGGTTTTGCTAAGAAGCTGCTCATGAAAAAAGGATCGGTACCAGCTATTCGTGTTCCTGCTGAACCTCTAGAAGAACGGAAGTGAGTGTAACGTTTTATTAAACTTTATATTAATTTTTATATTAATCTTTGCAAATCGCTAGCTGCACGCTTCACAATGAATGCGTCTAAGGTTTACACTCAGGGTACATTACGGCATGTTTTCTATGTATGACGTTCTCAATATAATTCATAATCCCACGTTTATACTGAACAACGCGTTATGGTTATTGTGTTATTGTGTTACAAACAGTGTACACAGAACAGAGGGGCGGAGTCAGCAAAGCTCATTATCATTTAAAGTCATATGCACTGAAACGGCGTGCTGAAAACAGAGCTGTTTTTGACCAGGTAAAATAAGTGTTTTCTTACAATACTAATGAGGATTTTTAATTAAAGTATATTACAAACTTTTAATTTAGACCCTAAAGAATCATACTAGCTTGTACAAAAATGGCATTATATGACGCCTTTAAAGATTTTGTAAGCATATTGCAGAGTATTGCTTGGAGTCGATTGTTTTATTTGTGATCACGCAATTATAATTTATTTATCATTTTTGGCCAGGCTGTCATACAAAATAAAAAGATGAACACATGCAAAAAAAGTAGTAAATGATTATGTTGTAGTCAATATATGCTTTTTTCAGTGAGCTTTTAGTTTTTGCATAGTAGAATAAAACCTGTAGTTTGCCTTTTTTTGCCAAATAATTTTGTCAGCTAAAAACATCAACCAAGTTTAGTGTTTTGTTCTTCCCTCATATTTAAAATAATATAATTTTCCTCATATATTGATGGTTTAATTAAACTTGTAGGGACATTAAAAACAAATATCCACGTTTGCCCACTCCTGAATATTTTAGAAATTCCACACATTCTCCATTCATTATATCAATTCCTTTCAGATTCCATTACATTCTATGTTCTACATGCATTCTAAAAATTCCCGTGCAATGCTTTATATACATTTTCACAATCCATTAAACACATTCTCTTAATATTTATTATTATGTTCTACTACAATATTCCATGCATTCAATACACATTTCATTCTGAAATCTGAAACATGCTATAATCATTCTTTAAATTCAATGCAGATTCCACACTTTCTATAGCCTGGCTAACGTCAGACCACGTCTCATTGACATTGAGACGTGGTCTGAGAACCACGTTCATTTTCTCGTATTTGAGACGTGGTTTACGAATGCCCAGAGCCGTTTATTGGGTGCTACGAATGTCTATCAAATGCGCCTGTACGTAGCTCATAGCCAATCGTTTCAATTATACCAGATGACGCATGTAGAGCGACAGAAATTAGACGATGGGTCAGAGATTTATGTGTACACGATGGCGTATGTATCTAAGTCTGCATGGAAAGGTAACTTCGCGTCTGCTGCCATGTTGGATCCATAGGTATAAACAAACTGCTTCGGTGTGTCGCATAGACACCGTCATCGTCTTGCTGCTCCCTCCCCGTTCTGTGATTGGTTCCCAAGATGAGGTGAAAATTTGGTCCATGGTATCCAGACTACCAGCAGCGTGAAGAAAATCGCGCTGCGCAAAGGCAGTATGGGGAAACCCAGGCTACACTTTCTAAATGCATTCTACACAATTGCATAAATGGTGAGTCCTGATGAGGTGAGGAGTTACTCACTGCATGGAGATGGTGGAGGGCATGGCAGAAGGCAGCTTGGATCCTCCTCCGCTCTCCACCAGCTCGATGGCCTGCTTCATCTCCATCTTGTGGTAGAAGGCGATCAGCTGAGGTTCTTTGGAGCGCTCACCCGCTATCAGGCACTTCTTTATGTACTTCTTATTGAACCGGTTCAGTCTGGAAATGAGAAGGAAAAGGTGATGCTTGTGATATGATAGCTGAAGTCCAGATAACAAACCCCTGCCTCCAGCATCATTAGTGGCAGAGGAAACACTGAAACTGTGTCTGAAATCAACGTGGTACTGTTGAGACGGGCACACACACCTTCAAATACTTATAAAAAATAATATATATTTTTTGAGATATATTTTTCAGAGAAGGAGAAGCACAAATAGTTTGATCCATTTCATTCACACACACACACATATATATATATATATATGTGTGTGTGTGTGTGTGTGTGTGTGTGTGAATGAAATGGATCAAACTATTTGTGCTTCTTCTCTGATCCCAAATATGAACCGAAAACTCACTTTCTCTTCAACAGCAACAGCACAGTATATAAGTATGAAAAGACTGAACTCGGCCAAATATACTAAAAACACGTCTGATTTTAATGGCTAAACATCACTGACGTTAGTCATTCAAAAACATGTCATATCTAAATTCTTCATCAAACACCAGATGTAGGAGTCATTTTGATTTCCTTTAGAATTCAAATAATCACAAAATCACTTAAAAATCACCAAATTTGACTTTTTGAGTTTTATACGTACTTGTCTTTCCAGTGATGATGTCCATAATGTCCGCAGATATCCTCAATGCCAGTTAGCAGATGGTCCAAAAACTAAACACAAATGTACACGCTAATTAAGTAAACATAAACGACAATATCTAGCAATAACGCTCAGATTATCAGTTAAATATCAAACAGAAGCTACAGCTGAATATGATGTTGACAATGAGCAATAAAGTGGACAGCAGAGAGATTTCTGTCAATCACTAAAAGCATTAAAGATGATGAGACGCCCATGCAAATGGGTGTTTCCATAGCAACAATCAGTTTTATGAGTGGTGAATAAATGCCAATTTGTGGGCAAAATGTTCTGTACTGAGTTTTGTGGAGTGGATCCAAGCTCATGTCTGGCGTACAAACAGCAACTTGCTTTTTCTGCAGAACATTCACATTATACTCGTGAGGATGGAGACTTCGTAAACATAACATAACAGACCTTGTGTGTGTGTGTGTATATATGTGCATTTATTTGATCAAAAATATATAAAATATTATTACAATTTAAATTAACTGGTTTCTGTTGTAATATATTGTAAAATGTAATTTATTCCTGTGATCAAAGCTGAATTTTCAGCATCATTCCTGCAGTCTTCAGTGTCACATGACCCTTCAGAAATCATTCAAATATGCTCATTTGCTGCTAAAGAAAGATTTCTGATTATTATCAAGTTGAGAATATAATTATTAACTATGTATATAATTCTTAATGTCGTTTCTCTTTAGATTCTCATGAATACATTTACCATTACTGTTTTACAGTCGATTTTCACTTCATTTACTTTTTGAACCAGCATAAATAATAATGAGAATGCATTTGTTGCATTTGCATTAATATTTTTTTTTTTACTTCTGCATAATGGTAAAAATAATGTGCTTAATTCTCATTAACATAATGTCACAATGCAAAAAAAAAACATAAAGAAGGGCTTAATTTTCTTTATGCAAAATATAATGTGTGTATGTAAATATATGTATTTTTTATTTTTTAATATGACCCGGAAATATTCTGGACCGATTTCTTTAGATTCATTGGGTCCCTTGGTCTTAAAATCTTCTGATTCCTGTCATTCTAAAAATACCAAGCTGCATGTCTGTATGAAACTGTGACTTTATCAGCACACAACCAGCAGGTGGCGCTCAAACACCTTCAGTAGCAGAACTGGATGTTCCACAAACCCAAGTCAACAAAATAAGTCAATTATTATAATTAACTAAACAAGCTGAGCTTGTTTTATTAAGAACAGAATTGTGTGAGTACGTTTGGGACTGGCAGAATATTGAGACGGCATAAAATATTAGTGAATCCCAGATGGGAGTAAACTCGAACCTGTGTGTGAATCTCCTCATTGATAGATCGCTTTGTTTCCTGTTTCTTCTTCACGGCCAGGAGGTCCACCAGAGGTCGAATGGTCATACCCTGAAAACACAAAGAGAGAGGAGGGGAAATTGATGCATGCTTACAGACGGTCCTATTTAAATGCAATCGATACAGCTCCATTCATCAATCTTTGCAGTGTAACGCGTGTGTGTGTGTGTATATATATATATAAATATATAAAGGGATTTAAAAATTTGTGTTCCAATTCTGATGGGAAAAATGTGAACCCTCCTGACTACTGAAGGAACTGCAAGTCATGACTAGGAAACAGTTGCGTTTACACACAGTGGGCGGGATCTCCTGTCCTTCAGCACTGAGCTGAAACTCATAGCGTGTCCTCACTTGTCCATAGCATGATTTTTCAAACTATGCTGAGCAATAACGGAGGACAGAGGGCTGGGGCTGTGACTCTGCATTGCAGTTGAGGGGTTTTCCTCAAGGTCAGATGCTGCAGAGATCAGGCTACACCGCATGCAGTGATAGCAAACGCACCGTCACATCGGACACTGCAAACGCTCTCCACCTTCCCCTTCCTGTGAACAGCACAAACTCTGTGCAGACAGAGAGAGAAACAACAGATCGACAGCCATGTGCCATGGCACTAAATATTCCACCTACAATTGTATGAAAGTCACTGCATAAAATAAAATATTAAAATTAGCACAACCGTCAAGCAAAACAGAAACACAGATCTGTGCCCAACAGGCAGTGGCTGCAAATGCTGCACCTAAAGTTGCATGAAAGTTACTGCAATAGACATCTGCATTGCATTGCAAAAATAAAATATTTAATTAATAAAATAAATAAAGTAATGGATGGCAGTATTGTCAGGTCTACACCTAAAGGCAGTGGCCCCAAATAGGCAAACCTAAAAGTGTATTTAATTCACTGCATTGCATTAAAATAAAACATTTAATAAAACACTTAAAAAACTGTATAACAGTTAAAAAATTATACAAAATAAAAAATAATACTGCATTAACTTTCTTAAGTTATTTTACTAAGAAAGTTTGTCTTTAATTTTAAAAAAGGCCTCAATTTTATATTTGGATTATTTATATAAAATACTTGTTGGGGTCAATGTATATCTGACATCCGACTACAAAAAGAGCACACATCACAACACAGATTTTCACAAACATAAAACACAAACACAGCCAGGGCAACACAAACCTTGCAAATTGATACCGTCCCTTATGTCCTCGTTTAAATGTGTGAACAGAGACACACCTTCTAAACCTGATACCACTTGATTTCAACACCAGAACAAAGACTAGAAGAGAAACATTCTTCCAGAGAAACTTCCTGAAACCTTCCACTGTAATGAATTCTCCAAAGTAAATCACCATTGGTACAGAGAAACCGAACACCCGGCTGTGTCTCTTGGTGACGCATTAAAACGTAAGGGATTTACTGTATCACACAAACACTCAAGAGAACACTAGAGTTTGCATCTTTAACCTGAGGGGCGTGATGATGCATTGACACTAAAACACTCAAGATACACTCAAACAACTCATATATTATCAGCCCCCATCAGCAAATCTACCACACACACGTGTGTGCTGTACACAGAGTATACGCCGGTCCTGCTCTTTCACAGCACTGCTTCCACTCAAGCAAAGAGACTCGTGTTACGATATGAATCATTCAAAACATAAATGAAGAGGGTTACTTTCACCACTGCCATTTCCAGCAGCTCATGCATATCTCAGGCCACCAGGGCTCCTGCAGAGCCATAAGAGCCGTCAGCTGAGGACGAGAATGGTGAAACAGCAAAAGCAAATAAAGATACGGGACCGTTCGATAATCCACCACCCAATAAAACCCAATGGAGCGAAAGGCTGTTCAATAAACAAGTCTGAGGCAATTACGTCTGTGCATTACCCAACGGACAGGTCTGCATGAAGAAGATCTTAAATTATATAAAATTCCACATATTCAATTTATAATGTTTTTTTTTTTTACTAATTCCAATAGAATTTCAACATTCGTAATTTTGCTACCAAAAAACATAGTATAGTACACTCATTTACGTTAAATATTTACCATTAAGATAATCATTCTATCATATTTGAATCCATTTCACAGAATTTCATTGATTGACATTTTCAAATTCATTCCGCAGAATTCCAATTTTTTTGCCTAACTAGTCAAATTTAGGATTCTGTAGATGTAATTATTCATCTTCTCACAATATTACATTACATTTTTTCGCGATTAATCACATTAATGTCATAGTTAACTCACGATTAAATCGCAATTAATCGCACATTTTTATCTATTCTAAATGTCTCTTGATTTCTTTTTGTCCCATTATTTTTCTCATTTTAATGCTCTTATCAACATGGAAAAGTGGATCGGCTTGCTTTGTACAAATGTTTTTTATTGAAAACAACATTGGCATATACTGTGTTCAATTTCACACTAACATTCTCACTTGGAGCAAATAATCTCTCACACAATGTAACACTGTCCATCAATAAAAGGGTGAAAGAAATACTGACGAGGTCCTGATATTGACGAGGGGGCGGAGAATTCGCATCAGCTGTGTGTGTGTGTGTGTGTGCTTGGCCATCATCAAGTGGTATTTCAGACTGGACGTGCTGCGATGATGATCGCTCAGTTCACAACGACAAAACACACAGATCACTTTGGTCTTGTCAATGGAACCATTTGGCAACTTTTTAAAAGTAAACTTTTCATTCAGAATCTTATTGGCATCCATTTCGGCGTCTCGCGCTCGTCATCCACTCAAAACGTAACGTTAACCAACTATTTGGCCGGCTCGCAAGCCCAACAAGTGTGTGCGGCGTGCCTGTTGTTTTGTTTCCGGTCTAGCTAGATCCGCTTGCGCTTTGGTCGACGAAGCAACAAAACGTCCTCGCGCGGCGCAAGCCATTGAAATGAATGGGTTTCATAGCGCATGTCGCGTCCTGGTGCAAAAGCATGTGAAAAAAAACCTATAAAGTTTGCTAAGCCAAAAAGACCGTTATTCGCACGATAAAAAAATTGACGCCGTTAAAATGGGTTTGCGTTAACGCCGTTAATAACGCGTTTAACTGACAGCCCTAATATATATATACACACTTATAATGTGTCTCATATCGAAAATAGAAAAGTATGCTGATGCTATGTGAGCCGCATATCCCATATAAAAAAATACCAATATGCTTTATGTACTGGAAGAAGAGAAGAGTTCGTACTGCTGGACACTGACCTGCACAAATACAGTGAAGAAGATGACCGTGATGATGGCGGTGAGGAACATGTTCCTCATGGGGAAGTGCACAGGGTTGAGCAGATAGACCAGGGAGAAGGCGATCGCTCCTCTCAGTCCACCGTAAGCTACAATAAACTGGTCCTTAGTGGTGAGTTTCACAATACGGAACTTGTTGATCACGAAGGTCAAGCCAATTACACCTATGAAAGAAGCAAAACGTTTAATTAAACAAGCACTAAAAAGTGTGCCAACATTCACATTCTTAGGGCATAAATCAAATACAGACCTGTTTCTTTAATTAGGCAAACAGTAATAATTAGGAAAGTGGTAATAACATTAATTAAAATCAAAGTAGTTTATTAAAATTAGTTCAGAACTACTTAAAGACGATGGACCTTCACTGAACCCATGACGCAAACACACAATCACACCCTAGATACTGGTGTGAGATACACTACATATGAGCTGTGAGTTATACTTGTGGTGAAATCTAGTGAATAATTGCTGTTACGCTAACCAGGGCTTGACATTAACACACACCAACTGCACCCGATTTCAGCAGTGATGTGTAACGCAGACACTCCTACTAGCCACTTTAGCGGGTTGAATTTTATATAGAATATAGCTTATACATTTTTCAAATGTAGTCTTTTAAAAAGGCATCTGAAATTATAAACTAAGTGCTATGTATAGTTGTCAAAAATATAGATTTTTTGATACTGAAATATCTTAAACACTTCCAATACTGATTTTCCGCAGAATAGATACAGGATACCAGCTGTTCTTACTCTCTCTAACCTCTCCGACAGCGAGTGACACAAAAACCCGCCTCTCCTCACTCACTCGTTTCATTTGCTCCGCAAGAGTATTGTTGCTGTTAGAGGGCTTGAATTTCACGCAGGGATTGTGCGTATTGCGCATAATTTTACTCATTCCCGCAAATTTTATTGCTCACACCCAAAGTGTACGCACATAAAGCCGCCTCTCAGAACTAAATTGATTTCTTATTGCCCTTAAACAGTCAAATAGACACAAAATAATGTCAAAATGCCATTCTTGGCTAGTATTCACGTAAACAGTCAGTTATGTTTTAAGTAAACATAAACAGTTGAGAAAGAAAACGCATGTGTAACAGAATAATGGATCCGTGCGTCAGGTCTTAAAGTGACAGCAGCCTAATATTCCTGCTATATGGCAGTGTCCCCCTGTGGTATCAATGTCAAAATTGTGACTAGAGAAAATGCTGAGTGTCTAGTAACTTTGGAAAACCTCTAGACATAGTGGTTGGTGAGCAAAAAAGTCAATGTCAAGCCCTGACGCTAACCCTTTACTCACCCAGAACACGAGCCACCAGTGAGAGAATGACAGTCATGATGACGAAGGTCCAGTTCCAGCGGTGCGGCCCGGCCACTGTCGACACTCCCAAGAAGATAAAGATGAGCGTGTCGCTCACGCTGCTCCACATCTTCAGGAAGTACTTGATGGTGGTGTGGGATTTATGGGATATGTTGGCCTCCACGTAGGGACGCGTGACGGCACCACATGCGATTAGCCTGGAAACAGAAGATTCACCAAAGTTACTGATCGGATCGGTTAAACCAGCACAGCTTGAAAGGCATTTTGGACAGCCAGTTTGGGCTGGGCGATATGGCCGAAAAAGATATGCCACACCTGTGAGGTGGATGGATTATCTCGGCAAAGGAGAAGTGCTCACTAACACAGATTAAGACAGATTTGTGAACAATATTTGAGAGAAATAGGCCTTTTGTGTACATAGAAAAAGTCTTAGATCTTTGAGTTCAGCTCATGAAAAATTGAGGCAAAAACAAGTGTTAGGTTTATAAGTTTGTTCAGTGTAATTAACAATTTAACCAATCTTTTAAAACGTCATCAAATGGAAATAACAAGAATAAGAATTAATTTACAACAAAACATTGCATTTTACATTGTCAAATAAAGTGTTGCACAACTTACTGTATAAATTAAAACATGGAGAAAATATTTTGCTTGTATGATACTCCTTAAAATAATAATGATAATACAATATAATGTTTTAATATATTGTATTAATAATAATATAAATAATATTAACAATAAAATGTTTTAATAAATTGTATTAATATTATTATTACTACTACACAATTTATTTAATTTTATTATTATTATTATTATTACTTTGTGAAGTACATTTTACTGTATAATAGTCACATATTTCTGTCATAATTCCAGTTTATTGCCCAGTCCTACAGGTAGTTGAACTCTGAGGACCAAGGCTGGATGAATTTTGACAGGACCTTGAAATTCTCTTCCAACCAGCAATTTGCATAATTTTCAATAATTCATCAAAAATACATTAGCATACATCCTTGAAAGTGAACATCTCAAATACCCTCATTTAGCTTGACATGTGATAATCTAATTCCGGCAACCGACGGGTCATGACAACTAACAATTAGCTGAACTGACTCGGTTTTATATGAAAGTGTACATGGAAATTACATTATTATGGAGGTGTGATTCAATGGCTAACTAATCGCCACCTGTTAAATGTATGACCTGCTATGATACGCAGTTAAAGTGCACCGGGTCATGTGACCTGACCTCTGATTGGGATCACATTATCAGGGTTGATCATTTTAAGTCCTGTGCTGGTGAGACGGCTCCTCCTCCTCTGCCGTTTGTTCCTCTTTTAAAAAGGGAAACTCTGTGACAACACTTCCTGTGACCGCACTGAGGCGTGTATTTAGGAGTAATGTTTTGCATAATAGGATATTTCACAGCTCAAAAACAAAAGAAATGTGCTTTTTAAAGGCACACTGTGGAACTTTTCAACCTTTATAATATATTACCAAAACCCATTGAGATGGTACATCGACTTACAATAGGTTGAATGACACGTCTGCCGTAGCCTGAAGGTGTCTGTATCGCTTTTTCTTAGCACTATGTAACTTCGGGTTTCGGGTAGGAACTCGAGCACAAAAACAACTACAAAATTCAACCGCTTTACGGCATACGTCACTTCCCCCACCACCCCAACTTCCTCAGATTCTGACGTGAGTGCTCAACTCGCGTTTGATTGCCGTCATGGCCGAACCATCAGCTACAAGGAAGAAGGCAAAGGTTTTGTCAGAGGACACAAAAAAAAAAGAAAAAGCATAGTGACAAATGAAAAGCCAGGACGAGGATCACCATTGGTCCAGCGTTCGCTCGCTGGCGTGAGCTACAGGAGGAGGAGGGGTGCCCGACCGATGCTGACGCTTGCCTGCACGCAAATGCCGTTTCCAAGGTGACCCAGATAAATCATATACGTAGTGTAGTATTTTCTGGTATTCCGGCCACAGCCGATGGTGTTATGAGTGTAATAAAATGCCCACAGCCCATTGTTCATTTCTACACACAAACACAGCCCGCCACAGTGCAGGGCTCGCACAAATAAAGTCGACTCATGTCAAATGTACATTAAATGTAGTGAACGTGCCCACGACTCAGTGCCCACAAACACTACACACAACATGTCCCACGGTTTCTATAAAACGAAACCAACACACAAGTTACAGTCAGCTCAGGCCGACGGTGTTTTTAGTGCAGTAAATGTGCCCGCCGTCCCGCGCCCACATTCACTCACAGACATGTTAGCACTAACCCCCACGGGGCTCGCCCCGCTCGCTCTCTCTCAGCAGACTGCTATAAGGGAATCGAGCGCGTCAAGGCTGCCCGCCTCAAACACTGCAAGCACACACAATCTAAAGACACATGAGGCTGACCGATTGTCTATGGGCTGACCGGTTGACTGTTTGTTGACTTTTGCGACAGTGCTGCGGAGCTTGTGGCCTCTAGGGACGCTAGACGTGAAAGTTACAGGTCGAGCGCCACTAGTGGCCAAAAGTTCTGCGGTGTGCCTTTAATAAGAGCAATATGTCATTCAAGGCTGTGTGGTGTCCTCATGTCTAATGCCTCATTTTAATGACATTAATTTTTTATTTAGATTTTTAAACAAGGGGTGAAAAGTACCCTTTTTAGTCATGTCAAAGCAAACGCATAATAATAAACTTTATTTTACAAAGCGCCTTTAAAAACAGCTTCTCAAAGCGCTGTACACAAAATAAGAAATACATAGCTCAAGTAATAAAAGTAACAACAACAAACGAATGCTAGTTAAAAAAATGTGTTAAGTCTACCTTTAAAAATTTCATAGGTCTGGGCTTCCCGAAGTTCATAAGGCAGAGTCTGAAGAGAAAGCCCTGTCACCCATAGATCTTAAGCATGTATGAGGAACAACCAACAAGTTAGATTGTGAAGATCGCAATCTACAATTTGGGGTATAGGAATTTAACAATTCAGATAAATAATGTGGAGACAAGCCATGCAAGGCTTTATATGTCAGCATCATAATTTTAAAATCAACTGGGAATCTCAATGGGAGCCAGTTTAAGGACTCCAAAACTGGATAGATGATATGATTGCACACCCAGTCAATATCCTGGCGGCCATGTTCTTTACATATTGCAGTTTGTTTAGTGTGGATTTAGAAACTCCAGCTAAAAATAATCAAAAAAAAAAAAAACTCCAAGGTTCCTCGCTTTACTTTGACTATTGATGGCTCTGTCTTGGAGACTCAGAACCAGCTTTGGAAATTTGATGACGGGAACCATTGAGCATAACTTCTGTTCAAACACAAGAAATGATTACTCATTCATGTTTTTATCTTAGAAATAGAGCCGTAGAGAAAACCAACATCAGGGTGTTCACCAGATGTTGAGTGTAATCGGCGTATCATCATTAGCATAAAAGTGATAATGGAGGCCAAGCGATCGCAACAAATGACCAAGTAGTGACAAATAAATACTAAAGAGCAGAGGGCCCAAGACTGAGCCCTGGGGAACACCAGTGAAAACAGAGCTAATCTCAGACCTGATGGAAACAAACTGAGAACGGTCAGTATAATAGGATTTAAACAACTTCAAAGCTGTCCCCGAAACACCAAAATCTTGTTCAAGGCAGATGAGTATAGATAATCAAACACAAATGAGAGGCAACAGCACACAAGTATTTTTTGCCAAGAACGGAAAATTAGAGAAGTCGAAAATTATTAAAAATTATTAAAATTGTAGTTTAAAGAGTTGATAATGACACGAGCAATGCAAATGTCATTCTCAGATATATAAACTGATATGCAAGTCACTTTGGATAAAAGCATCTGCCATAGACCATTTGGGTGTTTGCAAACAGCGATGTGTTTTGTGGGCAGAGCCTATCTGGTGGCGGAAAATGAAAGAGTCCATGGAAGCAGAGGAATAAAATAAATTTAAAAAGGTAATTTTGAGTTTATATCTCACAATTCACCAAGCCTGCATTTATTTGATCAAAAATACAGTAAAAAGTGTAATATTGTGAAATATAATTACAATTTCAAACTGTTTTCTATGTAAATATATTGTAAAATGTCATTTATTCTATTCCTGTGTTCAAAGCTGAATTTTCAGCATCATTAATCCAGTCTTCAGTGTCACATGATCCTTCAGAAATCATTCCAATATGCTGATTTGCTGCTCAAGAAACAATTATTATCAATGTTGAAAAAAGATGTGCAGCTTAATATTTTTGTGGAAACTGCTAAAAAAAATATGAGGATTCTTTAATGAATAGAAAGTTAAAAAGATCAGCATTAATATGAAATAGAAATCTTTAGTAACATTATAAATGTCTTTATTGTAAATGTCTTTATTGTTAAAGCATCCTTGCTGAACAAAAGTATTCATTTCTTTCAAAAGGAAAAACAATCTTACTGACCCCCAAAATTTGAACAGTTAAATAATTATTAACTATACTGCCCAGCCCTAGTCAAAACTATCCATTTTAAATCGTTTTGTTGTAATAGGTGGAACGGTTTTGATAACTTTGAGACACATTGTGAATTACTGCTCTGTTTCCAGGCCTGTCAGAGCCTCAGACTCTTTTTATCATCCACCAGACCATAATAACCGAGAGCCGTCTTCAGCACCGGAGTATTGACCGAGCTCTGACAGCCTTTTACTTACGAGCCTTGAAGACACAGTGAATCCATTCGCCTTTAGACTATATATCAAGTGTCAGCGACAAGCTGTTAAATCACTGGATGCTTTCAAATTGGAGAAATACCAGTTTTGACCTGTTTCATCTGGCCCTGTTTATTGATTTTATCATTTAGTCAGAAACAGAAAAAGCTCTTGTGCAATTCAGTCTCCTGCAAATGGCACCCGACACTTATAATATAACTAAATTTAAATATTAAACAAATTAAACGCTTAAATCAACATGAAATATTACAATTTACGTTCTTAATGCATATCCCTGATGCATTATGCATGAATAATCTGTACGTTATTTCAAATAAAAATGTCTTTGTCATTTTCCCGCAAATAATAACTAAGGAAAATAATAATAAGGTAATAAAAAGGAAAATAAATGTATTAATTTTGCAAAATTTTTTAGTTATATCCTGAATTCAGCTGTATTTATAGGCTGATTTTTGATCAATTTAAACCATTGGCATTTCAGATATAGCATGAAAAGGCCGATATAACGAACCGATCGTTTATTAATTAACTGCGCTAAGTTGTATATATGTATAATTTATAGCTGTAGTTGTTTGTCTGTTGCCTGCAATGTTTTTTTCTGGTTAAGATAATTAAACACTTGCCAAAAAAAAAAAAGTTTGTCAGCATATATAGTTTGATAGCAAAAATAACCTCTGAAGGTTTTCATGTTTTGTTTTATTTTTCTTACTTTGTACCTCTCTTACAATGTTGGGCTGTTGAATGTTAAATGGATCCACATGTTTTGATGATACAGCAATAAACTAGCTTGTATACCTCAATGCATGCGTTTTTGAACTTCGCTAATCTATTAGTAATGTTTATCTAGTAATCAATTTTAATGATAAAAGTAAGCAAAATAGCGGTAACGGAATCAGCCAATAGTTGTTTGTTAAAATCGGTATCAGCCATAAAAAAAAAAAACTCCTATCAGTGCATCCCTAGTCATAATTCAGCTCAATTTAGTACAATGTTGATTAAATTTAGTTAATCAATTGTGGCAAACTCAATTCTCTCTACAGAAGCCCGTAAGTGGTCACTTACGCCATGATGCCGGACAGATGGAAGACCTCCGCGGACAGGTAAGCCATGTAGCTGTAGACGAAGACAAACAGGGGCTCGATGACACGGGTGTGTGAGGTGAAGCGTGACGTGAAGGCCGCCAGGATGCCGTAGATGGCGCCCACCACGATACCACCCAACGACACCACCAGGAAACACACGACACCCAGGAACACATCGGTGACAGTGATCGTACCCACACTGGAGTACTCCTCAAACAGATGATACAGCACCTACAGAGAAGAGCAACAACAGGAAGTGTGCATCAGAAATGAACACAATCCAGGGCATCAGAACCACAGGCAGCGAGTGGAGTAGAGCTGCCCTCGACTAAAGATGTTTATAGTCGACTAGTAGTTAAAAACATTTTAATAAGTTAATAACTAATGATCGTTGCGACGGAAACTTTAGCTGGAAAATAACTTTATTCTAGAGCTGTCATAAAGCCAAATTTAAACAATCTCTGTTACTTTAATTTCCTATTATCACTGTAAAGCAATCTACATTGTTAAAAGCGCTATATAAATGAAGATGACTTGACTAGTCGTTCATTTAAGCGATTAGTCGACTAATCGCGCGTTTATATTAATAAGCCATAAATCATAATAATAAGCTTTTAATTGCCTATATAATATATAGCCTAATCAGTGCTCAAACGCACACATAAAGCTTGCCACAGCGCACCGGCAAACGTAATGATTATGAATAAGAGACTGTCAAAACATTTTAATAATTTATTGACGATGTTTTCGGTGGCAGTGATTTCGTCGACAAGTCTGATTCTTCATCTCCGCAGTAGTGGACGCTCCTTTATGCATGTTTTATACAGATTACATCATCTGAGAATATTTATTTTCCATTTGAATTGGTTCATTTAAAAGTAGCCATTTCAAGCTTTCTATAGATATATTTCTAATGTCTGTGAGGCAAATATACACTGAGATTAGGTTCACTGAGACCGGGACGGGAGAAAGCATTTGAATTATTTTACAAAAGCACCACATTTTGTTGTTATAGTGAGTTTACAGAAATAAAGGTATTTTTCAATTGAAGTTTGCATTCCTCTTTAGCCTGGCTAACGCCAGACCCAATTCTCGTTGAGACTTGGGTCTGAGAACCACATGTTCATTTTCTCGTATTTGAGGCGTGGTTTACGAATGCCCAGAGCTGTTTATTGGGTGCTAAGAATGTCTATCAAATGCGCCTGTACGTAGCTCATAGCCAATCGTTTCGATTATACCAGATGACGTATGTAGAGCGACAGAAATTAGACGAGGGAGACGACGATGGCCGATGGGTCAGAGATTTATGTGTAGCCTACACGATGGCGTGTATCTAACGGCCGTTTCACACCGCATGCGTGAGCGGCGCGTATTTTTTTCGGCGTGCATGTTAAGCAATGAGTGTATTCACACCGGGAGCAGCAGTGAAGCGGGGGTTTCGAATCTGTTTTTTGCTGCATTGCTCACGCTAAATAAAGTGAAAGAACACTTTTGATGGACAAAAATAAATGTGATTTCACACAAAAATTGCCCAAAATGCACAGAATTAGCATGTCTAGTGAGTTTTAACAAGAACTTGAGTAGGCAAATAAAAGAAAATAAAGACTCTAAAATATTTATAGAAGATTTACCCGGTAAAAACTTGTTTTTAATTATTCAGTTTGGGTGAAAGTTGTGTATTATATAAATAAAAAAAAACTAAAGTAAACTAGCCAGAAAATATTATATATAAACGTTCTTTTAGTTCATGTAACATTAACACACAGACAGCTACAGGCTAGCACAACCCAAATCAAACCCGAGTGTGTGGTTTATTTGTGTGTTTTGTTTTTTATCTGCGGAGTTGCGGTCTTGTAAACATCGAAAGTATGACTGAAACTAATAGATTGGAGCCATTTTCTGGGTTGTTTTGTTGTATTACATTTAACTTATATGCGAATGTTGTACACCTCCCCATTACAAACTTTCAAGACTATCAATGTTATAAAATGACCAACTTCTAAAAACAAATGTATAGTTGTCTTTGTAAAGAATTGCTCGCTTATATATAATGCCGAAGTCATATTTCAATGTCTTTGGAAAACAAGAAAAAACACAAAATGACTTAAGCAATTATGCTATGAGGCTAACGATATGTAGCTTTGGAGGCGCTGCTGTTACACTGTCTACAAACGCTTCCAGTGTGAATACTCTCGCGCGTCTGCAGCTGCAGTGACGATGTAGTTACGCTGACGCGCTGCTCAAATGCCGCTCACGCTTGCGGTGTGAAACCTATGTGTGAAACGGCCGTAAGGCTGCATGGAAAGGTAACTTCGCGTCTGCTGCCATGTTGGATCCATAGGTATAAACAAACTGCTTCGGTGTGTCGCATAGACGCGTCATCGTCTTGCTGCTCCCTCCCCGTTCTGTGATTGGTTCCCTAAATGAGGCGAAAATTTGGTCCATGGTATCCATACTGCCTTTCAGCGTGAATAAAATCGCGCTGCGGGAAGGCAGTATGGGGAAACCCAGACTAATTCCTCTTATCTGTAGGATCAAAAATGACGGCGTATTTTAAGTTAAATGCAAGTGATCGTGCAGGGCGGCACCTGTACGCAATAAATGTATTGCTCAGTGTTAATGTTAGTTTAACTAAATTAACTATTTAACTATTCATATACCTATTTTTTGACCTTACTGTAAAGTGCTGCCATTTAGTTAGTTAGATAGCTGTTAGTTAGTAAGATTAGTTAGGTCAGTTAGTTTAGTACTTTTGCCGTGAGTGTACAGGCAACATAAGAATATCTGTAAACATCCACATTTAGTATTTCTTTTCTTATGCTGATCTACACAGCATCAGACTCACTCCTCATGAAATACATTCAGTAGTATCAGTAAACATTCTTTCAATAAACTCAATAAACATTCGTTAACCGCTTCCCATCTGAGATGTGAAGGACTGGACAACAAATACTCCTTAGTATTGACTACTATTGATCACCTTCTAAGTGTAATTTGTTCAATAGACCACTTGAGACAGAAGCTCATTCAAAGCATGAGGTCAAACCGTCGAGGAAAAACAGCTGAGGTAATGGAAACAAGATGCCTTCTGAAAAGGGCTCGATCACCTGATAAATTGAGCTGTGAGAGTGAACAAGTGTGCAGTGAATTCTCACAGACAGTGAAAGACTGGAACGATCCATTATATCATACTAGCGGCTGACCGATATGCCTTTACAACAGCTGATAGGGTGCCTAATAGATTGGTGTAGGAATGGCGTATTTTTGTAGGCCAACCCGGAGGTTAGCATCACCCTGGTTCCCTCGACAAAACCCCAAAATTGAATAAAATAAGGTCTCTGTATCGTTTTGTTAATCGTGATCATCTTCACAAATGAACACAACTTTTATGAATTTTGAAGCGTAAATATAATCAGCAGAAGTCGAAAGCTAACGTAGGCTGTAAACGTACTACACCATGGTCACATGACATCAACGTCACTGTCACTAAGCTTCAGTCAACTCTTTCAGTCTGTTTAAAAACATTTTCCCTGAAAGTTCAAGTAGTTTGCAAGAGTATGATCATAAACACAAGGCTGTGAAGGCAGACTAGTGAGTAGATGAGTTTACTTTAGCTTTAAAAAATATATATATATATATATATATATATATGAGGAGTTCTTTTCCAAAACGCTATAAATCCATTTCAATAGTTTTCAGGAAAATTACATTTTTTACCTAGACCCACACATTTTGTGAATATTCAATTTATCCTGTTAAAATGTTTTATTGGCTCAGTCTGAACATGTTGAACAATGATTATTAAATCAAACAACAATATTGTTTATGATAAATTAAAAGTTAAATTTTTTTTTTTCCCAAAACGCTATAAATCCATAATTTTTTTCCAAAACTGTATGGTTTGTCTTTAAAAAAAAAAAACGAGAGCATGTAACATATAATCAGGGGCTCATACTATAAATTACTATAAATTAAATTTAGTAACACATTTAGGCTAGAAGTCATTTGGTGCAGAACCTGAAAATAGTAATGATATCAATAGTTATTCAATAAGTTATTTAGTAATACATTCAGAGTAATTTTTAGTAAAGTGTCAAACCTGTAACAAGTAGGACCAATTTGTCCACTACATATGCGTAAAAAAAACGAATTATTAAAAATATTTAATAATGATAACGATATTCAAAAGTAGTGATGGGCACCCCTCCACCACACACACACATGCTTGTATAGGCTACACAGCATGTGAACAAAGCGGAGCGGCGTGACGCTTACATATAGGCTAAGTTTAAAAAAAAACTTAAACATACGTTTCATATTTATGTTTAATAATATAGGCTATTGTTATTTTTTTTTATTTCATATATGTTGATTATATGAAAAGGGAACCGCATGAGATGAGTATGATAGGATCATAAGATGACCAATATATCGGAAAACATTTGGAATGGGTCAGACATGATTTTGACCACTTATTAAGTTTTGTTTAGTAGAAAGCCTTTCTTTAAAGTGAATTTCGTTTTGTATAAATTGTATCTTCATTTTAATCAATGTTTCATCAACAAATTGACTGGATTAATAATAAATAAATAAGAAGCGAATATAGCAGACATATAATCAGGACACGGAAGCGCCCGCGCGTGATCTGGAGACCATCACATAAATTGACCGAAACACAGCGATACTTGCCTCACAATCCTGAGAAGTATATCTATAAAAAGCTTGAAATGTCTACATTTAAACAAAACAATAAAAACGAAAAGAAATTGGCTACTCTCTGCGTATGTAGGCTAATACAAAGTGTGCATTTCTCTCTATAGACGCGTTCACTACTGCGAAGATGGCGAGTCAGCATAGTCAACTTTATCCTTGCAGCTATATCTGACAGAAAACACTAATTAAAAAATAAACAATTCAAATGTTTCATGCATAGGCCTAATCATTACTTTTGTCGGTTCTTTGTGGCAAGCTTTATGCGTGAGATGCGGAATAGGCAATAAAAAAAAATGCTCATTATGGTTTCTCTCCCATATTTAAATAATTAAATCAATATCAATATGTGATTAAACTTAAATGAACTACTACTAGTCGACTAGAAAACTCACTCATTTTGAGGAATAAATGAACATAAACAAACCTCTGTTCAGAGCGCCACCCTGTTGGATTGCGTATACGTTCACCGAATTCTGATTAGTCGAGAGGATTTATCGCGTTTAGGCTAAAAATAGGTT